CCCAAGTGTGGATCACTTGATATTCGAGCCCGTGATCTTTGAACATGGCTTTTGACACTCTACCATTGAGCTCTAACATTGGCCCGTTTTCCTGTCGGTTGTGATCGAAATACCAATGGTGACAGATGAGCGTTAACCGATTAGGTTACGGAATACGCTTGTTTTGTTGTGCCTTGGGACTCATACTGGAACCCTCGCACGCCCATCCGTCATGATTGATATTCCCGATCACAACCGACGGGACAACGGGCCCGTGGCTCAATCGTAGAGCGTCAAACTTCATGACCAAAGACCCCGGGTTGAAATCTCAAGTGATCCAGACTTGGAGTCGGGTATGACTGTCAGACGATGGCTAATAAGCCAGATATGGCCATTACGGTCTCCCTTGTTTTTGTCAGTGCCATATTATCTACATCTACCATGAGACATTGTGTCACTGTTTTCGAGGGTTCTAGTATGAGCCCCAAGGCACAACGGAACGAGCATGTTCCGTAACCCGATCGGTGAGCACCCACCTGTCATAATGAATGAGAGTCTTTGAAACGGTGTGGGTAGCAGCATTTTCAGGTTTTCGGGGAACAGGCTCAAATGATGTCCAATTGGTCTAAGTTGCATTTGTTGAGGAGTCGTGTTGAAATGTATTAGGTTGCATTCGCGTTCAAGTGGAATGTTTTGTGTTCGCAGGGGAGTGGTGCATTCAGGTGGCGCATGGGCAGCTGCGACTCTGTGTGGACACACGTACAGGACATGTTGGCCGAAACACTGAAATGAATTCCCGATTGGGAAGGATTGCTTAGGTGGGGTTATAGTATTGACTGTCATGCGGCATAATCCTATAATGTTTCGGATTCGTCGGCTTTTGAAAGCACTTCTGTCTGACCTTCTGTAGAATTCGCGCTCGGTAAAATAATGAATTCTTTAGTAGCATGCATTATTCAAATAGATTTTCGATGGTCTTATGTGGTCAAATATATTTTTTAGGAAACACGCACGAAAATATTCTTTCTTTTACTCGTTTGGTAGAAAATCACGTTGTCTTTGTGTTCTATGCCCGAAGAAAGTGTATTACTAGGTTTTGAAAAGTTTTCCAGCTACCGAATAATTTTGAGGCAGCTCAGCCGTTGCATAAGCGTTTCGCGATTTCAGTCTACAGGGCGTGTGCTTCCCGCATAAGGAAAATCATGTATTTCTCTATGCCTTTAAGACGATGCTGTACAGAGTTCAGGAAATTTGGCAATGGACGCGGACTATGTTGCACATTTCATTAGGAGCACTGGTAAACGGACATGTGCCATACTGCATGTATGGATATTGCATGGTCTTAAAAACCTCATAAGTAGAAGCTTTCTAAAACCGAAAGATAACCATTTATTAGAGGATAAAATGTAAAGTCAATGCAATTTTCTACCAAACGAATGAAAGAAAAAGTATTTTTGTGCATGTTTCCTATAAAATATATTTGACCTCATAGGACTAGCGGAAGTAAATGTGAAAAACGCATGCTACTTAAGTAGTCCTTTTTTTACCGAGTGCGGTTTCTACAGGGGGTCAGACAGAAGTGCATTCAAAAGCCGACATCTTGGCAAATCCGAAACATTATAAGATTATGCCGCATGATGACTAATATTACAGCCTCATCTAAGCAATCCTTCCTAATCGAAAACGCATTCCAGAATTTCTGCTAATAGTTCTTGAGATTGGTCACTGACTGCATTTCCGAATTGAAGTCGGCCAGCGGCTGCAGATCAGGGCGTCTGGGAGCGCTCACTCCTTGGCGCAACGCAACCTCGACCAAGGGGGTCACGCAGAGCCACGATGGCAGTCGGCAATAGGAGCACAAACGAAGTCCTCAAAACAAAACTTTTAAGGATCGGTAGGGAAGTTGATTAGTGTTCGAGCTGGAATCTATCAGCTTCAGTAGAACGGTAGAGTAATACCCACATTCTGCGAACAGACAGTCAGCAGTGTGGCATCCGAGATGCATTCGTCATGTGGATGCACAGGTTAAATGCTATCATTTTGGTTATGGATTCCAGATGTAGTCCACATCACAAGACAAGCCAGTAGTCCTCCCAATACCTGTTATGAATTCACTCATGAGAAAACAAACGTAGGTAGTGTGCCCGTGAGGCCCGTGTGCAGTGAGGCATCCGAGATGCATTAGTCATATGGATGCACAGGTTAAATGCTATCATTTTGATTATGGATTCCAGATGTAGTCCACATCACAAGACAAGTCAGTAGTCCTCCCAATACCTATTATGAATGCACTCATG